TCAGTGCCTCCGGCTCAGGCCGCCGACATTACAGGCCTGCTTTCTTATTTGCGTCCCTTTGGAATTGTCCCCTTGCCCCCTTCCCCTCTGAGATTTTTGCCCCCCTTTCTTTGTTGAGATCCATTCCCCCTTTCCGCCCGAAGGCCTTTTCTCCCTCTGTTTTTTTCCCTTTTCCTCCCTAAGATGTTTTCACCCCTCTCCCTGTTGAGATCCTTTCCCCCCTTTCCCCCCTAAGGCCTTTTCCCCCCTGAGATCTTCTCCCTTTGCCTCCCTAAGATCTCCCAGATCGTCTCCCTTTCAGGGAGAAGATCTGGGAGAAAAGGACTTAGGGGGGGCCCAACAGGGAAAGGGGGGAAAAGATTTAGGAAGGAAAAGGGAGAAGCTCTCAGGGGGGGGAAAGGCCTTAGGGGGGAAAGGGGGAAAAGGATCTCAGCGGGGGGGGGGGGGAAGATCTTAGGGAGGAAAGGGAGAAGATCTGGGGACAAAGGCCTTAGGGGGGAAAGGGGAGAAATGATCTCAACAGGGAAAGGGGTGGAAAAGATCTTAGGGCGGAAAGGGAGAAGATCTGGGAGAAAAAAGGCCAACAGGGAAAGGGGGGAAAGACCTAAGGAAGGAAAAGGGAGAAGCTCTCAGGGGGGGGAAAGGCCTGAGGGGGGAAAGGGTGGGAAGGATCTCAACAGGGAAAGGGGGGAAACAATCTTAGGAAGGAAAGGGAGAAGATCTGGAAAGGCCTTAAAGGGAAGGGGGGAAAGGATCTCAACAGGGAAAGGGGGCAAAGGATCAAAGGATCTTAAGGAGGAATAGGAAGAAGATCTCAGCGGGGGGAAAGGCCGTAGGGGGGAAAGAGGGGAAAGGATCTCAACAGGGAAAGGGGGGGAAAGATCTCAGTGAAAAAGGGAGAAGGTCCCAGGCAGGGAAAAGGCCTTAGGGGGGAAAGGGGGAAAGGATCTCAACAGGGACAGGGGGCAAAGGATCTTAGGGAGGAAAAGGGAGAAGATCTGAAAAGGCCTTAGGGGGAAAAGGGGGAAAGGAGCTCAACAGGGAAAGGTGGGAGAAGATCCTAGGGAGGAAAAGGGAGAAGATCTCGGGGGAAAAGATCTTGGGGAGGACAAGGGAGAAGATCTCAGGGGGGGGAAGGCCTTAGGGGGGAAAGGGGGGAAAGGATCTCAACAGGGAAAGGGGGCAAAGGATCTTAGGGAGGAAAAGGGAGAAGATCTTGGGGGGGAAAACGCCTTAGAGGGGAAAGGGCGGGAAAGGATCTCAACAAGGAAAGGGGGGAAAATATCTTAGGAAGGAAAAGGGGGAAGATCGCAGGGGGAAAAAAGGCCTTAGGGGGGAAAGGAGGGAAAGGATCTCAACAGGGAGAGGGGGGAAAACATCGTGAGGAGGAAAAGGGAAAAACTCAGAGGGAGAAAGGGCCTTAGGGGGGAAAGGGGGGATGGATCTCAACAGGGAAAAATGGCAAAAGATCTTAGGGAGGAAAAGGGAGAAGATCTCAGGGGGGGAAAGGCCTTAGGGGGGAAAGGGGGGAAAGGATCTGAGCAGGGAAAGGGGGGGAAAGATCTTAGGGAGGAAAGGGAGAAGATCTGGGGGCAAAGGCCTTAGGGGGGAAAGGGGAGAAATGATCTCAACAGGGAAAGGGGTGGAAAAGATCTTAGGGAGGAAAGGGAGAAGATCTGGGGGAAAAAAGGCCAACAGGGACAGGGGGGAAAGATCTAAGGAAGGAGAAGCTCTCAGGGGGGGAAAGGCCTCAGGGGGAAAGGGTGGGAAGGATCTCAACAGGGAAAGGGGGGAAACAATCTTAGGAAGGAAAGGGGGGGGGAAGATCTTAGGGAGGAAAGGGAGAAGATCTGGGAGAAAAGGACTTAGGGGGGGAAGCCCAACAGGGAAAGGGGGGAAAAGATCTTAGGAAGGAACAGGGAGAAGCTCTCATGGGGGGGGGGAAAGGCCTTGGGAGGGAAAGGGGGGAAAGGATCTCAACAGGGAAAGGGTGGGAAAGATCTTAGGGAGGAAAGGGGGGGGGGGAAGATCTTAGGGAGGAACTCCCTAAGATCTTCCCCCCCCCCTTTCCTCCCTAAGATCTTTCCCACCCTTTCCCTGTTGAGATCCTTTCCCCCCTTTCCCTCCCAAGGCCTTTCCCCCCTGAGAGCTTCTCGCTTTTCCTTCCTAAGATCTTTTCCCCCCTTTCCCTGTTGGCCTTTTTTCCCCAGATCTTCTCCCTTTCCTCCCGAAGATCTTTTCCACCCCTTGCCCTGTTGAGATCATTTCTCCCCTTTCCCCCCTAAGGCCTTTTTGCCCCAGATCTTCTGCCTTTCCTCCCTAAGATCTGGAAATGAAGGGGGGAAAGGGGGAAAGGATCTCAACAGCGAAAGGGGGGGAAAGATCTCAGGGAGGAAAGGGAGAAGATCTGGGGAAAAAATGCCTTAAGGGGGAAAGGGGGGAAAAGATCTTTGGGAGGAAAAGGGAAATCTTTCTCGGGGGGAACAGGCCCTAAGGGGCAATCGGGGGACAGGATCTCAATCGGGAAAGAGAGAAAAAACTTTGGGAAGAGAAGGGTGGAGATCTTGGGGGGAAAAGGCCTTAGGGGGGAAACGGGGGCAAGGATCTTAAGCGGGAAAGGGGGGAAGAGATCTTAGGGAGGCAAAGGGAGACGAACTCAGGGAAAAGGACTTAGGGAGGAAAGGGGGGGAAAGATCTTTGGGAGGAAAAGGGAGAAGAACTGAGGGTGGGAAAAGGCCTTAGAAGGAAAAGGGGGGAATGAATGATCTCAACAAGGAACTGGGGGGGGGTTCACCAGCATAGGCAACATCCCCAGCATCACTTGCATCATCCGCATCCTTGGCAGGCGCTGATGCGGATGATGCAGGTGATGCTGGCGATGTGCCGCTGGAGCTGCTAAGGATGCAAAAGCGCACCCGGGGGGAATCGAACACCCCAATGTTTTTGACAAACCGAGTTGCGCAAGCCCGCACAATGAACAGATTTAGTGAAGCGTCTTCGAATCACCGCGTGGTACGTGGACCCCCCCCCCCCCACTGACCTGGGGAGGGGTCAGGGAGGGGTAACAGGTAAAGAGGTAAGGAGCATTTCTCATGTCCAACACGCCGCCTGTTGTCGGCGGATCTGTATACATATATGCATATACACATGCAAATATTGAATATTATTGCAAAGGAGTAAATGTGCATCTCACAAAGATGATTTTGCTCCACCTTTGTTGGCCTCGCAGGTCAAGGGCCTGGTGCCCTCCATGCAGCGTCTCCGCAGCGCCACTGATGCGCTGTGGCGCAGCTCGCTTTGAGCTTGGCCGATTTCCCCGCGCCTCCCCGCCTGCCCGCCTCCCCGCCTCCCCAGCGCTCGGGGCTTTTCCGGCGCCCTTTCTTCGTGCCTTGAAACCGTTTCCAAAAAGCAAAGGTTCAACTTTGTAAAGCAAAGGCTGAGCATGTTCAGGGGGGTTGGCCCGTTACCGGAAGGATGTCCAGAATGTCTTGATTAGCACTGAAGTAGGCAGGGTGGTCTTTGGACTTATATTGGCACGGCTCCGAGCCTTGAAAAGGTGGTCAAACCACAAGGATCGAACATTAGCTTCCGTTGCTTGCCCTTTACCAGGGCCTTTGGGTGTTGCTTTGAATTCCTTTGGGAGGGGACTTGGAACGACTTGCGTTTGAAGCTGTCGCTGAGGTATTCTCCAGATCGCTGAGGCGTGGAAAGACCAAAGCAGGGTTGTCAAAAGAGACGCAGGAATTCCATCCGTTGGTTATTTCAGAAACCACGAGCTGAATGCTAAATAGCCTTTTCTGCTGGTTGATTCCGTGAAGGACGCTAAAAGGTGTCTTTCTTGCACCCACCCTATTCGGCAGTCACCTTCCACAATTCTAACGAAGAACCCCAGGGCATGCTCGCATGAGGAGATGCCAGCCGCGAATCTGCTCTTGCAGCGTCAGATGGACATCTGGTGCCGCAAGTGGCAGCAGCAGTGAGCGCGTGTTCTCGAGACCGCGCCAGTGGAACGAGCCCCAGGTCTGTAGGCTTGCAGTTGCATGACGTTGCTCCGGCCAAGGCATGTTGATGTCTCCTTGAGATCTTAAGCATCTTATGCCATAAAACATGATAGTTGGGATCTCTTCTGACCCCACAAGGTGACATCGACAGTGCCATAGATTTAACTTTGACGCCGAGGTGCCTCCGGTGGATACCCCTATTGCAAGTAAACCACCAGAGGATAGCATGTTCTATCCACAACTTGCAACAAGGGAATCGACCATCGCTCAGCCCGTTCGTTATTGAGCGTGTACCTCCCTTTCGGGGTCAAGAGAGTGCGAGACAGCCGGACAGCGCCGAATCGTCTCCATGCACGGGGCGTGTACCCACGTTTCAAGGGTCTCTGCGCCGTGCAAGGAGGCTCCACATGTGGATCCCATCCCAACGACTTGAATGCAAAATTGCCCGTTGATGTGAGACCCAGACGAGTTGAATTCCAGCAATTTGCCCAGTGAGACCTCATTGGAGTTGAATCGCACCCATCAATCTGCGCAGTGTGAATGCTTGCCATGCAGGCCTGGCGGAAGTTCCACGTTTCGAGGCCATATAGAGTACCAATGCCACCAGTGTTTCTGGTACACTGGCCTCCTAATTCATTGTTAACGGTGCTGATCTGCCCATAATGTTCTATTTTCCCGAAGCAAGCCAAGAGCTGTGTCTTCCAACCCCCCTATTCAGCACCCAGTCAAGCTTCTCACCTTGTGCTGCGACTTGTAGATATATCCCAGTGAAGCCAATGTTGCCAACGCGACGTTCGTGCATCACCGCTTTAAGCAGCAAGGAGATTGTCTGAAGGACTAACACCAAGATCCACCACTATCATCGGTTTTGGAGCCTCACCTCGTTGCTCCACTGTTTTTACTTAGCATGGAGACTGAAGCAGAGTTTCAATGATCGGTTTCAAAAAGCATGCGCGGCTAGGGTAGTGATTGAAGCCCTTCTGTGCTCGTTATTGCTCGTCTGTCATCGTCAATCCAGAGCCGCCACCCCTGCGGGCTTGTTGCGTGCAGCCGCTTGAGTACACAAGGCAAGTAGGACGTGGTCAGCTCCGTCGCTGCTTCGCGTCATGACCTCCATGGCCTTTGCCCGCGGCGCACAGATGTATCAGGTGATGTCCCCAAACATGCCTGGCCTGATTCAGAAGAACATGTGCAACATGGGCGAGGTGAACTTGCCAAACTGCCAGGGCACGGGCTTTTGCCCTATGGGCTCCATGGACATGAATGTCCACACGGGCATGCATGTGGCGCCAATGAATAATGGCATGGCCCCCATTGCCGTCTTTATGGATCCTCAGGGCAACATCATTACGAATCCCGCTTGCTTGGCGCTTTTCTTTTTGATTCAAATTGGCTGAAAATGGGTGACTTGTGCTGATCGTATTGTTCTAGAGGTTCACTGTGGCATGAAGGGCCATCAGCAGCTCAGGACGATGAGCATGCCCATGAACGTGGCCCCGAGCCAGAGCGATGGCTCTGCGTGGTCAAGCCAGCAGATGGCCTGGTCAGACTATGGCTGGTGCAACTGGAGCACCGAGTCTGAACACAGCGAGACCATTCCCGAGACCAAGCCCAAAGATGACTTGCTGAAGCTTTCGTTGGATCGCCGCTCGCAGTGAGATTCCTCTGCTTTCCCATTTTTTAGGCCGACTCCTAAAGTTGATTCCCATAGCACAAACAAAGTATTGGTATGGATTATTCCCGTGCTTGGGGCTGGGCACGACAAACTTGAATTCTGTTGATGCTTGTTGCTTGTTGATACATGGTTCTTGGTGTTGATGCAACTGTAAGCAGCACCTTATTGGTCAATTGCCGGCCACAAAGTATGACTTCAGTGCTTGTCGTTGAAGCATCGATTGTTCTCTCCACACCCCGATGAGGATCGGCTTCCAAGTCTGGTGGAGGTTTGACATGGCTTGACCATATCGGGTGGGCGCTGTAGCTATTTGAAGGCATGCCTTGAATTTGAGCACTGTTCAAGCAATTCTGATAGAGGTCTTGATGTCTCCTTTTGGTCAACCATCACCTTTCGTCCTGTTTGGATGGTGTTGCCTTTTGGAAGGGTGATGTTTGCAGGCAACATCTAGCGCGAATCCTGCAGGTTTGACTGGTCGCATTGCCAAGGCCTGGGCTGCTGGAAAGTCCAAGCGATGATCCCAAAGTTTACGAATGCTGAGCTCGAGGCCAGGCCGACGGCCGAAGCAAGCGTGGCTAAAGCAAGAGTGGCCAACGTGATGTTGTTGAGGGACCTTTTCTGGCAGCCATGTAGAAGTTAAGCGCAGCTTTGAGCCTGTTTCTCCTTCAAAAAGGGGACTGTCTGTGGGGGGGGGGGGGCCTCCTCAACATTCGCCATGAAGCGGAACACACGGCTCTTCCTCAGGGCACGCCCCCAAAGTTCACACCAAACACGAGGTAGCGGCACTTTGCCACTTATTGCTCGTATGCTGACCTGCCTGATGCTGAGCTTTTAGCCTTCCGTTTGAACTTTGATCGCGTCAAGGTACACAAAGCTGAACCGTTTTTGGTCGGGTCCTTTGGGGGCCTGAGCATGTGACCGCGACGAAGGCTCGTTGTCACGATTTCGACGGGCCAGCCATAGCAGTGGAAACTAGGATTTGAGGGCGATTCTTGTGCCAAAGAACCCCCTTCAAAGTGATTAAGTATTGATGGGAATGGCCCATGTTGATATCCCGGAAAGGGCGACTTTCCACAATGAAGACGGCAGGACCTGGCTCAGCAGCTGAAGGGCCACGTGCGCGAGCTCATTGAGAGCCCCCATGGAAACCACGTCATGCAGAAGTTCATCGAGCCTTTTGACAGTGAAAGTTGCATATCGTTTGGCGTAGGTCCTTTACTTGGGGATTCCGTAGCACTGGTAGTGTTGTAGAATTTGCAGCTGTGTCGACCTATTATATTGAATGTGCTCGCCTGTATGAGTTGCGTGCTTATTTGTGTGTCTGCGTTGAACTCTTTTTTGCATGTGCGTTGTGCATGTGCGTGTTTTTGTCTGTGTCTGCGTCCGTGTCTGTGTCTGTGTGTGCGCACGCACGTGTAAATGGAGTGGACTTGCGAGTCCCGCTCCGAACGCTTTCCAACAGGTGGCTTATGTCGCTCGGCCTCGGGTATGATCTCGACACGGTTGGGCAAAAGCAGCCCATAGGAGCTTGGAATCTGGAACGCTCAAGGAGGATGTTTCAACATGCTTAAGCTTAAACATCTTAAACAACCTGTTAGCCTCCAAACGGAAACTAACAACGGGCGTGTGAAAACAGGGCATAGGCATCAACAAAATCACTTATTAGGCATCAACAAAAAAACTTATTAGGCATCAACAAAAAACTTATGCTCATTCCTATGGGGGTAAGGAAGGGAGGAAGGAAGGAAGGAAGGAAGGAAGGAAGGAAGGACCCCCCCCCAACCACCCCGCTGATTTGTAGAAGGTTGACAGTGATTAACACCCTTCTTCGATCATCACCACCCTTTGTTGAATCATCACTTCTTCGAACATCTTGGGGGGGGCTGCCGCCCCCCCCAACCCCCCTGCTGATTTGTAGAATGCTTACAGAGCTTAGCGCACCCCTCATCACTTCCTCGAACATCATGGGGGGGGCTGCCGCCCCCCCCCCCCCCCCCCAACCCCCCGCTGATTTAATGCTGCGCCTGCGTCAAGCTTTGCACCGTACCTTGCGAAAGTGCTGCGCCTGCCGCGAAATTGGCACCTCTTGCGAAAGTGCTGCGCCTGCCGCGAAATCTGGACCGCACCTTGCGAAAGTATTGCACCTGCCGCGGATCTGTCCCTGACCTTGCAAAAGTGCTGCGCCTGCTGCGAAATCTGTACCTGACCTTCCGAAAGTATTGTGCCTGATACGAAATCTGGACCGCACCTTGCGAAAGTGCTGCGCCTGCCGCGAAATCTGTACCGCACCTTGCGAAAGCGCTGCGCCTGCCACGAGATCTGCACCTGACCTGCAAAAGCATTGCGCCTACCTTGCGAAAGTGCCGCACGCGCCACGAAATCTGTACCTCACCTTGCGAAAGTTTTGTTTGATCCCTATAAAGTTTTTTTTGATCCTCTGATTTGTCATTTTCAATAGTAAATCAATGAGAACAGTTTGTTTGATCCTTAATAAGTTTTTTTGATCTTTAGAAATAAGTTTTTTTGATGCCTAAAAAGTTTTTGTTTGATCCCTCACCCCCTTAAAACAGTGGGTAAAGCCATGATCCAATCCACCATTGTATCAACAACCTCGTTTGGGTTTTGTTGCGGGCTCATGATTAAATCGTGGCTTGAATCGCCCAACGACTCAAGGTACGCCTCACCCCACCGCCTGGGTTTCGTACTGCGCGAGCTGATCGCATGGGCGCCGGCGCATTTCTTGGCGCAGCACCGCTTCGGCTGCCGCGTGTTGGAGCGGCTTCTCGCCCGATTTAGCGCGCTTGGCTTGAACTGGGTTGTTCAAAATCAATCCGAAATCCTTATGCCACATGGTGGTTTCCCTTGCAGCGGGGTCCCACATGAGGATCAGGCATCCACCCAATTTGGGCAACCCTGATTTAGGTTCCATGGTGCCCGTGGTGCAATGTGTGTTGTCTTTTTTTTCGGGTTTCCTTCCAACGCCATCAAAAAGGAACCCATTTTGGACACTTCCCCAGCTTTTTAGGTGCTGATTGGTAGTGAATGGGGAATTGCTTAACTTATTTTTGTTCTCGGGATTGGCGGCTTGTATCGGTGCCGTTTGGTTGGGCTGAGGACTTTGGTTTGGTTTCAGAAAGACATCATCAGCAAAGACTCCCCCTGGCGGTTCGTAACCTTGTGGGTCCGAGCGACGGCATGAAGATGGATATAGAAACTCAGTTCTTCTGTTTGTTCACCCCCAAAAGCTCAATCCGACCCCTATCAAATCTTGTTTCTGAAGCTGTCAGAAGCATTATTGGATAAAGTGATGGTTTTGTGCACTCTTTCTGAACTTCTTCTCTTTCTACCCTTCGACAAGACTACACTTCGACAAGAACCCCTTCAATCAGAAGCTTGTACTCTGCAGATTAACATGGAGCACATTTGGGGAACAGGAATCTCCGGAATCTCCTGGGCCGTTTGGCGCTCGCCGGGATCACTTTTAAATTTCAAGCTTCGCGAAATATGGACCAGAAGCAAACTTGCCATGTTAGGTTGGGGCAAAAGCCGAGGTAAGGTCAGTGGCCCAACAGGATGGCAGTGTCGATCCTGGCCTCGCGCCTCGCTTCGGTTGCCGCCCAAACGGCTGAGCCCAGGATCCTGGAGCACTTCCCCGAGGAGCCCATCGCCGGCATGCTGAAGAGCCTCGTGGACCACACGGAGGAAACAAGCATCGTGGACGTCGCCTTTGGGCCTGTCTGCTTCAACCTAGAAAAGCGTTCTCCATCACAAAAACACATGCCACATTGATGAGTACCTTTGAGGGAACCCCCACAAAGTGGTTTCCATTTGGCTCCTCTGTTAAGACTACTCCCAAGAAAGGTACGAGTTCATGCAATTGGTTTTTGTTGAGGGGAACCCTTTTTGTGTTTGTTTCAGGGGCAGACCAAACGGGAATTGTCTCAAAGTGGTGAAACGCCCCAAAACCGGCGTGGACTTGCCTTTAAGACTTGACTTCCGCAGTACGCCCCTACAAAGATTCATGGAGAAAATTATATGATTTGTCAATGTGAGGCTCTTGCAGTTTTGAGGCCGCAAGGTCTGCAAAGGGCCATGCGCTGCGCTTCCAGACAGCGAAAGTGACTGACATGCAGCTGCCTGTACGTATTGCTTGCGCTCTTTGCTTAACACGATGTGGCAAAATGAGCCCACCCAGAAATCATGTCAAACAATGGCGGTTGTAGAGCAAACATAGTCGATGCCCCTAGCACATCTATTCAATTGTCGAGCGCCAGGGAAAACGTATTCGCCAATCGGGTGCTTTTTTTGAGGGTACTCTTTTGGGGTTTATTTCCATTTTTTAGATGGGGGATGCAGCGGGGCGGGGTTCCCTTCAAATAGCCGACAAAGAGAAAAAAACAGAAAAGAAAAAAAAAACACACACACACACACACCCTGCACTTCTCATTGAGTGTGATTACTTTTTTGGGAGGGAAGCCAAAAGGGAAACCGAAGTGTTACCCCATTTTGGAATTACACCAATTGCCTAGCAAGGCTTTCGGTTGCGAGGTCTTTAAGTGGTAGGGTTGGTCCCTCGACGCCTACGGTGTGCACAGATCTTTTTTCTTTGACCCTAGGAGCTTTCAAGCCTTCATGTTGAACCAAGCGTGAAATCGGTGTGTACAGGAGTTTATACATTCAGTGCATACTTGTACCGGTTGGATACCATCCTGTATCATTGTGTTGTGTTGAATGTGTGGAGGATGGAACAGAAGCAGAACAAGTGTTCCCAAAACAAGATTCGGCAGAAGGACTTCCATAGGTCGCCCCCTGTCCCCATAGCCCCAGGTCCCTTGGTCCATTCTTTGCCCCCAGGAGCTGATGGTGCACCGCTACGGCAACTATGTCATCCGCGTGTTGGCGGAGCAAGGCCCAGAGCAGGCCAAGGCAGCGGTGCACAACACGCTGCGCAAGCACCTGGTGCGCTTGGCAAGGACCACGGCTGACGACTCTAGCGCTATAGATGGTTTGCCTTGACCCCTAAACTTGTTTCCTTTTCCGGTTCAGGGTGGATGGGAAGACCCAAAAGTTCCCTTTTACACCGATTCCCTGGTCAGGGCAGAGAAAAAAGAGTTCCTGCAGGAACGACAAGGGCTGCACCCTGGTGGATGTACTTCTGAGCTATGGAGAGGTGACAGAGCGGAAGCCAATTGTCCAAGAGCTGATCAAGGCTTCCGTTTTGGTGGACCAGGGGCCAACGAAGTCACGGGAGTTTCGCATGTGGCAGAGAAATTCACTGACTAGCGGCCAACGTTGGCCTGGGTGCTTTACAGCCCATCATTTTTGATGATACGCCACAGAGAACCGCCAGGAAGATGGACAATCATTATTTGACACCATGGCGTCTTTAAAGGGGCATGACCCAGTGTTTTGTGCAAATCATGAGAATCGAACGTCAAAATCGCCAACTTCAGTGGCACCCTAACGGGTTACTGTTTCTACCTGGCTGTGTAGTGGGAACAGTTGAGAAGGACTGTCAGTTCATGTCATCATTTCTCCCTCCGGAGCACTTCGGTTCGGGCAACCAAAAGGTTTCCAAGCGAGGCATGTTCATGCGCCTCGTTTCTGTTTGTCTACGCCAACCTTATGAGACTGTCATACGGCTTCCTAGCATGGGAAGCCCGCTGTCCCCAGCATTCTTACTGCCGGCCATGCTCTGGTTCGATCGAGATCAATGTAGTCGCATGAATGAAGGATGACTAGCATGAATTCGGTCGATTGAATCCTGACAACATCTTCGAAAGCGTGGGATGCACGTCAACTTCAGATATAGGTGTTCGACAAACTCCCCCTAACCATGCATCATCTGTTTTCTGGAGAATTTGGAAGCCCCTTTGCTTTTTGGAGTGATCCAACCTTTGCTTGTTGGCGCTATCCGTAGGAGGTCCCAGAAACCGCGCAGTGCAGGCACACCCTGTCATGTTGGCTTTGTGCATGACCCGACCCAGACTCACTCTGGCTCTCACTCCAAGGATCTTCAAGATCCCCACGATAAGGCTCTAAGAAAAGAGGCTTGCAAGGTGCATAACATCCAGCTGACAGCTATTTTCAACATGCCCTCCTTTGGTCAGTGTCTCATGTTGGGTCTCTAGTTTGTTAGCCTACAACCCAGAGCCGAGCGATGGTAATTTTCGGGTCGCCTATGCCACATCCTGAGTGTTTTTATCGCGTGGTCCTGAGTGGTCGCGTGATCTCAATACAACCTGCTTGGATACTTTGCGTTGATGTTTGTTACATGTTTCTATACACACGCCAATCGCTTGCAATGTTCACACGTTCGGATATCGCACACATACGCGCATGGGTATTTACACACTTGCACACTTACACAGGCATACAATACATGTATATGTTGTGTACATACATACATACATATATATATATATATGTATATATATATGTATACATATATGCATATACACATGCAAATATTGAATATTATTGCAAAGGAGTAAATGTGCATCTCACAAAGATGATTTTGCTCCACCTTTGTTGGCCTCGCAGGTCAAGGGCCTGGTGCCCTCCATGCAGCGTCTCCGCAGCGCCACTGATGCGCTGTGGCGCAGCTCGCTTTGAGCTTGGCCGATTTCCCCGCGCCTCCCCGCCTGCCCGCCTCCCCGCCTCCCCAGCGCTCGGGGCTTTTCCGGCGCCCTTTCTTCGTCCCTTGAAACCGTTTCCAAAAAGCAAAGGTTCAACTTTGTAAAGCAAAGGCTGAGCATGTTCAGGGGGGTTGGCCCGTTACCGGAAGGATGTCCAGAATGTCTTGATTAGCACTGAAGTAGGCAGGGTGGTCTTTGGACTTATATTGGCACGGCTCCGAGCCTTGAAAAGGTGGTCAAACCACAAGGATCGAACATTAGCTTCCGTTGCTTGCCCTTTACCAGGGCCTTTGGGTGTTGCTTTGAATTCCTTTGGGAGGGGACTTGGAACGACTTGCGTTTGAAGCTGTCGCTGAGGTATTCTCCAGATCGCTGAGGCGTGGAAAGACCAAAGCAGGGTTGTCAAAAGAGACGCAGGAATTCCATCCGTTGGTTATTTCAGAAACCACGAGCTGAATGCTAAATAGCCTTTTCTGCTGGTTGATTCCGTGAAGGACGCTAAAAGGTGTCTTTCTTGCACCCACCCTAACCTTCCACAATTCTAACGAAGAACCCCAGGGGCATGCTCACATGAGGAGATGCCAGCCGCGAATCTGCTCTTGCAGCGTCAGATGGACATCTGGTGCCGCAAGTGGCAGCAACAGTGAGCGCGTGTTCTCGAGACCGCGCCAGTGGAATGAGCCCCAGGTCTGTAGGCTTGCAGTTGCATGACGTTGCTCCGGCCAAGGCATGTTGATGTCTCCTTGAGATCTTGAGCATCTGATGCCATAAAACATGATAGTCAGGATCTCTTCTGACCCCACAACGTGACATCGACAGTGCCATAGATTTAACTTTGACTCCGAGGTGCCTCCGGTGGATACCCCTATTGCAAGTAAACCACCAGAGGATAGCCTGTTCTATCCACAACTTGCAACAAGGGAATCGACCATCGCTCAGCCCGTTCGTTATTGAGCGTGTACCTCCCTTTCGGGGTCAAGAGAGTGCGAGACAGCCGGACAGCGCCGAATCGTCTCCATGCACGGGGCGTGTACCCACGTTTCAAGGGTCTCTGCGCCGTCCAGGGAGGCTCCAGATGTGGATCCCAACGACTTGAATGCAAAATTGCCTGTTGATGTGAGACCCAGAGTTGAATTCCAGCAATTTGCCCAGTGTCAGACCTCATGTGAGTTGAGTTCCACCCATCAATTTGCGCAGTGTGAATGCTTGCCATGCAGGCCTGGCGGAAGTTCCACGTTTCGAGGCCTTATAGAGTACCAATGCCACCAGTGTTTCTGGTACACTGGCCTCCTAATTCATTGTTAACCGGGTGTTGAACTGCCCATAATGCTCTATTTTCCCAAAGCAAGCCAAGAGCTGTGTCTTCCAGACCCCCTATTCAGCACCCAGTCAAGCTTTTCTCCTTGTGCTGCGACTTGTAAATATATCCCAGTGAAGCCAATGTTGCCAACGCGACGTTCGTGCATCACCGCTTTAAGCAGCAAGGAGATTGTCTGCAGGACTAACACCAAGATCCACCACTATCATCGGTTTTGGAGCCTCACCTCGTTGCTCCACTGTTTTTACTTAGCATGGAGACTGAAGCAGAGTTTCAATGATCGGTTTCAAAAAACATGCGCAGCTAGGGTTGTGATTGAAGCCCTTCCGTGCTCGTTATTGCTCGTCTGTCATCGTCATTCCAGAGCCGCCACCCCCACGGGCTTGTTGTGTGCAGCCGCTTCAGTAGACAAGGCGAGTAGGACGTGGTCAGCTCCGTCGCTGCTTCGCGTCAGGACCTCCATGGCCTTTGCCCGCGGCGCACAGATGTATCAGGTGATGTCCCCAAACATGCCTGGCCTGATTCAGAAGAACGTGTGCAACATGGGCGAGGTGAACTTGCCAAACTGCCAGGGCGCGGGCTTTTGCCCTATGGGCTCCATGGACATGAATGTCCACACGGGCATGCATGCGGCACCAGTGAACAATGGCATGGCCCCCATTGCCGTCTTTATGGATCCTCAGGGCAACATCATTACGAACCCCGCTTGCTTGGCGCGTTTGTTCTTTGCTCAAAATGGGTGATTTGCGTTGATCGTATTGTTCTAGAGGTTCACTGTGGCATGAAGGGCCATCAGCAGCTCAGGACGATGAGCATGCCCATGAACGCGGCCCCCAGCAAGAGCGATGGCTCCGCGTGGTCAAGCCAGCAGATGGCCTGGTCAGACTATGGCTGGTGCAACTGGAGCACCGAGTCCGAACACAGCGAGACCATTCCCGAGACCAAGCCCAAAGATGACTTGCTGAAGCTGTCGTTGGATCGCCGCTCGCAGTGAGACTCCTCTACTTTCATATTTGTTGTCCTGGAGTTGATTCCCATAGCAGAAACAAAGGATCGGTCTTGAAGGGTTCCGGTTTGGGCCAGGTATGTTGTTGAAGCCTGCTGATGCTTGTCCAATAATGATTCTTGATGTTGCTGAGACTGTCGGTGAGACCATTTGAATGGGCAACTATACCATGACTTCATGAAGCGGTATTTTTTCTTCCACACTGATCCGCTGCCTTCAAACTGCAGCTGCTTATACTTTCAGGGAGAGAGACATGTCGCCCGGATGAGGATCTGTTTCCATCTCTGTCAGAGGTTTGACCATTTAGCCATTCCACGGCTCCTAAAATGGAAAAACCTGCCTTCAAAGAGTATTCAGGCTTTGTTCAGTCTCTCAACAAAGAGGTCTTTACTTTCTCGTTTTGGGGTGTCAACCATCACCCTTCGGCCCAGTTTGGATGGAGTTGCCTTTTGAGAGGGTGATGTATGGTGATGTTTGTCAGGGAGCATCTAGCGGGAAGCCTACAGAAGGCTCTCACTGCCTGAGTCTTTGCACTTGATACTTTTTGGGAAAACCATTTGTGTGGCAACCAAAAGCTTTGTTTGTGTTTGTGAAAAACATCCACTGAGGAGTGAGAGTTTGACTGGTCGCATTGCCAAGGCTTGGGCTGCTGGACGGTTCAAGCGATGATCCCAAAGTTTACGAATGTCGAGCTCGAGGCCGCGAACACGGCCGAATCGCGTGGCCGAATCGCGTGGCCGAATCGTTGGGATGGACCCGAAGATTCGCCATGAGCAAATCATGGCTCTTCCTTGGCACGCCCCTAAAGTTCGACCCAGAGATGATGTGATTTCCGGGCCATGGTGGAACATAGGGCCACGTCTGCGTTGCCGTGGCGCTTTTGAGGCCACTTTTTGCAGTGCCAAAGCATTCCGTAATTAAATGATAAAGGTGATGGTTGAACAGTCCATGTTCCTATGGGTGAAAACGACGGCAGGAGCTGGCTCAGCAGCTGAAGGGCCACGTGCGAGAGGTCATTGAGAGCCCGCATGGGAACCACGTCATGCAGAAGTTCATCGAGCCCTCCGACCCAAACGGGTGGATGGATTTTATGATGGATGTGTCCGCGTGTATTTGTGATGTCTGTGTTCTGCTATTTTACAGCACATGCATATAGATTATACATATATATATATATATATATATACACATGCCGTAGTATGTCGGTGTGGCTTTGCCGAGGGAGCCAGTGTGGCGGTTGGCTTGAAGGGCGCCCATTTTGAGGTTCCCCTGTTGAACGACGAAGCAGTGGCCTTAAAGGCCCTGTTTCGAGGGCATTCCAGCAGGCCCTAAATGTCGCTAGCAGCCGTCCCTCCACCCTAGATTGGAAGCAAATTTGTCAGTGGAACCCATCTGGTTTCAACCAACTACCTGAAGATTGACATCAGTGCTTGTGATTTTTTGGGGATTTGTTCAAACATGGATTTTGCTTTTCCTTTTGGTTTCCTTTTGAAGAACTTGTTTTGGGAAGCCCGAACCTCACAAAACATGACGCCCCATACCCCCTCCCAGCCCAGCCCACCCCACCCTCCTCCCTCCAGCCTGTGTCTTGGCCTAGGTACACCTCGCCTCTGCGCCTGGGCTTCGTGTTGCGCGAGCTCAGCGCCTGGGCGCCGGTGCATCTCTTGGCGCAGCACCGCTACGCCTGCCGCATCTTGGAGCGGCGCCTTCGCTCAGTGCTCAGCGCTCGCGGAGAATCGGGAGTCGAATCCCACCAGCGGGTCAGTCGATTTGTTTTCTGGCACCCTTGGGGTGTTTTTAGTGGAAACCCAAAGGAAGCCAATTAGTTTGGGGGGGTTCCCTCAAGAAAGCCCAGTGGGTGAAAACACAACAGCATGTTTTTGGAGCGGGGGAACCCCTTTGAAGTCAACTGACCGACAAACAAGAGTGCCAATTCTTTTGTTACCATGGCCACTGGAGATCTGGGCCGCTGCCAGGAATCGGATGCTGGTAAAGTGGACTGGCAATTTGAGGGGTCCCAAACTTTCTTTGGGAATGGTTTCCACGTAAACTACAATGTTAAGGGCAGCACATGTGAGGATGCCAAACATTTCCCCTTTGAAATGTTTATAAACATCTCATTTTGGGCCATGTGAAGTGTGTCTCCTTTTGGCGGGGTGATGTTGATTGCAAGGGGAATTTTAGGGAATACTGAATGTTGATTAGAAATCCTAATAGAAAGGGCGGCTTTGGTTTCCTAGTTAGAAGCAGGGTTGGTCCACCCGCCGGTTAAACATGCTTAAACCAGCATTGTTGAAGCAACCTTCTTTGGGTTTTAAAGCGGGCCAGGGTACGCTGGTGAAACCAATTTTGCCCAACCTTTGCTGGAAGTCCAGGGTATATACCTTTGCATGCTGCACAAAAAGCAACTTTTGGCCTCGGGGGTAGTGGTTTGGGGCTAGCGGAAGCCTCTCAGATGGCACAGGAAGTTTGCCGAACGCCCACCAAAAGAAGAGGTTTGGGCGCGAACTTCCCGTAGGGTTTCCTGCTGGTTTGAGGGAACAAGGGGAGCTCCGTCGGAGGATCTTGGAGCACTTCCCGGAGCAGGCCATCGCCGGCATGCTGAAGAGCCTGGTAGATCACACCGAGGCCGATCAACCGTAAACTAAGCCTAAACCAACCCTAAACTAACCCCAAATGCACCCTAAACCAATCCCTAAACAATAAACCCTAAACCTAAGCCAACCCTAAACCAACCCTAAACTAACCCTAAACCAACCCTAAATACACCCTAAACCAAACCCTAAACCGTAAACCTAAACCAACCCTAAACCAACCCTAAACCAACCCTAAATCAACATAAACCAACCCTAAACCAACCCTAAACTAACCCTAAATACACCCTAAAGATACCCTAAACCAATTCTAAACCAACCCTAAACCACCACAACCCAACCACAGGACCACAACCACAGGGGGGGGGGGGTACTTGCCTGACCCATGACCATTGGTGGGGTGGGGGGGGGGGCTGGCAACGCTGTACCATATATATATATATATACACATGAAAGATTATGCGGCCTTTGGATCCAGGAGCTGATGGTGCACCGCTACGGCAACTATGTGATCCGTGTGCTGGCTGAGCAAGGCCCGGAGCAGGTCAAGGCGACGCTGCACAACACGCTGCGCAAGCACCTGGTGCGCTTGGCAAGGACCGGTCTCAACTTGTCTCTTGACATGCTCCCTCCGGGAGTTCCTGGACATGAGACAAGTTTCTTTGTTCAGTCCTCTCATGTCCTCCTAGACGAACAGGCAATTTCGACTGTGGCTTATATCTGCTCCGCTCCTGTGTTCGTGTGACCAACATGTCCGAAAGCTGGTGTTTCTCGAGTGATAAATCGAGTCTTCAAGCAGAAGTGGCATGCGGCGCCAGACACGCATTGATTGGGCGGCATCGCGGTTGCCCTTGTTAGAGCCATCCATATGTTCCGCAGGAACGACAAAGGCTGTACCCTGGTGGATGTTCTTCTGAGCTATGGGGAGGTCAAAGAGCACAAGCCGATTGTGCAAGAGCTGATCAAGGCTTCCGTTGTTTTAGGGCGAGTTGGAAGTTTCTCAAAATGGGCTAATACAAGTCCTTTCCTGTTGTTTCCCTTTGCGACTTTGGGACCAGAGTCTGACTCACTGACTGGAGGAACATGTTGACCTGGGTACTAAGCAACCCATGATGTTTGATTGTTCGCCACAGGCAACCACAAGAGATGAACAGTGTCCAAAGTTCGAGGCGCTTTCAGCTTGACACCGTGGTAAGTTTGAATGGACATGACCTATTGGTTTGTGCCAATTATAGCGATTTCGCAAAAAGGGGTTGTAAGTTTAAACTTACCTATGACCAAGGTTTCTTGCTTGCAGATTTGTTATTGGGTTGCTGAGTTTTGTACAGTTCTTCTTTGTCTCAGACCTCACAGAGGGTGTGAGCTCAAAGCCATGGAACACTTTTTCTTGAGAATTGAACGTTAAGTTAAGGGAATCCTAGATTTAATGAGCTCAACCACAAAAAGGGTGCCTTTATCTACCTGCGTCGCTGGGAAATGGGGGGAACCAGTTGGAAAGCGACCGTCACTTCCCTCGAGCGCAGCAGTTCGACATCAGCCATGTTCAGTTCCAAGGTGAATTGTTCTTCAAGGGTACGGACAGCAACGCTGCAAACATAGTTCGGACAGCCAGAAGGCTTTCGATGGGAGGCGTGTTCATGTGTCTCGTCTTTGTTTGATCCACGCAATCTTGGAAACTCTGCGTTGATGAGACTGTTAAACAGCTGTCGTTCAAGGGAAGCCCATTAGCCCCAAACCAGAATCCCTACTGTGTCACATTTGGAGCCGAGCCCAAATGTCTGGCCATGTTCTGGTGGTTCAATCTCAATGTACTTCCATGAATGAATAATGCTAATAAATGAACTCTTGAAGAAACTTGAAGAATGACAACCTTTCGAGACCGGGAATAAACAACCACGAAGCGTTGGGCCCTCGACATTTGATTAAACTACTTGTACATTGTCTTTAAAACTGACCGTCCCCTTTTGGTTTCGTCCAACATTTCATTGTTGGTGTTATCCACGTCCAAAACATATCTTGAAGACACCCAAAGGTAAGGCCTGAGAAAAGAGCGAGAAGATGATTCAGAGGCGCGGTACCTGACAGGCATTTGAATATGCTCTCCTTTGGTCAGTGCCATAAGGAAAAGTGATACCTGCCCTGCCAACTGAGTGACCCTGAATCCATGTGTAGACACTTCTGCCAACCTTTGCCCTGTGGCAACACCACTCCCACTTTCCTTCCACAAGCCATCCCCCTTGATTGTGTATGCGACGTCTTACGTTAAGATGTCCTTACTTATTTTTTTGAGCTGGTCGTTGGCCAACCCCACATGCAAACAACAACGATTACCTATCGGACGATAGCACATGTACATACCGCATATATATACATATATATATATATACACATTGAATATGGGTATGATTTGTAATTAGGGACCTTGGGGTGGGCATCATGTAGTTGGGGATTCGTGTCCACCAACCACTTTCAGGTCCCACCCCCCACCCCCCTCCCCAGCCAATCGACCTAGGTTTTTGGGCTTAGCTGTGTGTTTCCATATATATATATATATTTGTACACCTACGTGCAATTACATGCAGGTCAAGGGCCTGGTTCCCTCTATGCAGCGTCTCCGCAGCGCCGCTGATGCCTTGGAGCGCAACTCGCTAGCTCCTTTTGGGCCCAGCTCACAGCCAATTTCCCTGTTTCGTGTCCCTCGGAACTGTCTGGGCCAAAACACAACTTTCCAATTGTGTTTCCATGGGCATGGCGGCAATGCACTTGTTTCCCTTGGAATGGTTCACTTTGGATTTCGCGAAATGAACTCTATCATAGATTTATAGAGTGTTTCGAGGGACTCTGAGGCAGGCAAGGTTCTCCCGACTTGCTTTCTGTCAGGGGTGCTTTGGGCCTCACTCGAAAAGGCAGCCAAACCGTAGAGCATCGGTTTGGGGTCTTTGCTTTCTCCTTTGGAGACCATGCCTGGGATTTGGCAGGGCGCCCCGTGAGGCATTCTCCAGATCGCCCAGGCGCGACCCGGGAGTGTCCACCGGTTGGTGCTTGAAATTAGTTCAAGGGACACGAGCTGAGTGCTAGCAGCACTTAAAACTTCCCCCGACACAAACAATATTTCAATGTATTTTGCAGACATCCTACTTGGCACCCGACAAGGAACAGGCTTCCATGCATATATTTTGTGTTGGGGGGACTTGAGCCAGGGGTGTCATTGCAATGAAGAACTCCGGGGGTCCTCGTGGTTCCCCTTCAAACAACCTGAAATGGGTACCCTCAACAACACACACCCAAAGTGGTACAGTCTCACGAGGAAACCAACATGCAAGCAACTTGTGCAACAAATAATGTCTGGCACAGCCCAAGCAATCGGTGCCTGCGACCAGACACCAGCTCGCTTGTATTCCAAGGAGATGCCGGCTGCGAATCTTCTCTTGCAGCGTCAAATGGACATCTGGTGCCGCAAGTGGCAGCAGCAGTGAGCGCGTGCTTTCGAGACCGTGCCAGTGGAACGAGCCCTGGGTCTGTAGGCTTGCAGTTGCATGGCGCTGCTCCGGTCAGGGCATGTCGATGTCTCTCAAGCTAGAGGCAAAATGATGACAGAGGGTGGTTGACACGACGACCTTAATGAATGTATGTGCTAGGCTCATCCGATGCTGGACTTATCCAATGGGCTCCCTCTGACCCCACAGAGTGACATCGACTGTGCCATAGGTTCAACTTTGACCCGAGGTGCCTCCGGTGGATTCCCTTATTGCAAGTAAACCACCAGAGGATAAGCCTGTTCTATCCACAACTTGCAACAAGGGAATCGACCATCGCTCAGCCCGTTCGTTATTGAGCGTGTACCTCCCTTACGGGGTCGAGAGAGTGCAAGACAGCCGGACAGCGCCCAGTCGTCTCCATGCACGGGGCGTGTACCCACGTTTCAAGGGTCTCTGCGCCGTCCAGGGAGGCTTCAGATGTGGATCCCAAACAACTTGAATGCAAAATTGCCTGTTGATGTGAGACCCAGAGTTGAATTCCAGCAATTTGCCCAGTGTCAGACCTCATGTGAGTTGAGTTCCACCCATCAATTTGCGCAGTGTGAATGCTTGCCAAGCAGGCCTTGCGGAAGTTCCATGTTTCGAGGCCTTATAGAGTACCAATGCCACCAGTGTTCCTGGTACACTGGCCTCCTAATTCATTATTAAGCTTCTCCCTTTGTGCTGCGCTTTGTAGATATCATTGACACGGTGAAGCCAATGTTGTTGCCTAGGCAGCGTTGCTGGCGTGTCACCGCTTTAAGCAGCAAGGAGATTTGCAAGATCCACCACCATCGGTTTTAAAGCAACACCAAGTTGCACGCCCTCCTGACCTGAACCGTGGAACCCAAAAGTTGCCACTGTTTTGTTGTTTGTGCCATGCGCCAAGTCAGCTTCAACAATGCCTATTGGCATTCTTATTTACGAGTGTAGACATGTCGCCGCTCAAGCGAATTTCCAAGTGTTTGACCCAGCGTGGAGGGATTTAAAAGCTGCACCCTGCGTCAACCAACCTTGCCTCCGTGGCTGCTTGTGTTCGAAGTGGGTGCTTCATTTGTATGGAAGCCTATTTGTATTGACCCAAGGAAATTCCATTCAATTCCTCACGGTGCATCATTTGCGCGGAAACAGTTTGCATCATTCAAGGGCCAGCAACCCAAGTGAATTATGTGCAATTCTCGCAACGTAGCGCAGTGACTGGATAATCACAAGGTGGTTCTCGTAACTCTCAGAATTCCTCCCTTTGGTGGCTCCATGTTTTTTGTTTCATCGCCAGGAGTTTTGTCAACTTCCCTCCTTTGGTGATTCGGTTTGGTGGTTTGGACAACAAGGGGAACCCTTCGCATTTGGCGTTAAAAGGAGATTGGGTTCAAGTCCCCAAACCACCAATCCAAACCACCAACTAAGTTTGGCTTTTATTTAGTGTACCCGTTTCTATGTTTGCTTCTTTTTTTTTGCGGGGGTTCCAAATCCCTATTGTGTACAGACCCAAGCCCGATTTGGGTTCCCAGTTTCGAGACGCGTCCAGCAAAACGCGTGGCGTGTGTGTGTGTGTGTGTGATGTGTTTCCTGGTTTCTTTATTTCGGTGTGTTCTTGTATGTTTGGTTGAGCGCAATTAAGAAACACGGATACCTGTACTCGGGTGTCCAGGTGCGTTGCCTCAACGAAGGGTTGTGGCCGCTCAGGATACCGTAGATGGGAGATGATGGAAGTTGATCCAAAGGGACTCCCTTCTTTCTGGAGTGTGTAGCCTGCGTTGGGGTTTTAGGGGCCTCCCTTTACCCCAATTTTGGCCAACTGTGAGTAGGCAGCGGCCAAATTGGCGGCCAAGCATTTGTCCGATGACAGCCTGCTGGTGAACAAGCGCGGGCGCCTGATGGTTTGACTCCACATTCTTGGCAACACAACATAAGCCAATTCAACTTGCTCAAAAGGCAAAGGCGGCTGGACCGATGCCGGGCTGACCCTGTGTCTTCCTTGGAGCTACCCCCAAAGCAGTGGGTACAAGGGATATGTTTTGGAGTGGAATAGGTAAAAACTTGAAAAAAACAACCCTTGTTGTACTCTTGGCGGCTCTTGCGAGGCGCGAGCAGGTCTCGAAACGAAAGCAAAAACAAAGCCTAAACAAACCATGTGTGTTTCACGAGAAGTGTTTTTTGCTCTTATGAATGGCGATAGATGAGAAGTAACCAGAAGACCGCCGAAAGACTACGGGAAGACTACCCGATACAGCTTCAC